GTGTGTGTACTTACATAGTTCAGCAAATACAAATGGGAAATAAGCATTGAATACCTGTAGTTTGGGTACAGGTGGTATACAGAATAAGATGAAGTGCGCGACGGCATCATCGAGCGTGAATTGTGGCTGCAGTATGACTTCTTCTATGGCAGATGTCGCCGTATACGACTGCGGCACTTCCTCGCCCTTCAGCCGCGCACACTTTGCTTCACTTGGAGGATAGCTCTGAATAATCTATACATTCATAGATTTGCTGGTAGATCATTGTAAACAGAAATTTTTTGAAAAAAAAAATACCAAAAATGAAAGCTTAGAGATTCCTTGGCTCTGAAGAAGCGAAAATACTCTTATTTTATGAAAAAAATCTATACATTCATTGATTTGCTGGTAGATTATCGTAATTAGAAATTTGCAAAAAATCTTGTAAGCGGTTACCCCCTTAAGACAAAAATATTTGCTCTTTTTTTTCTTGAGAAAAAAACTGAAAGATAAATGAGATCTAGCATACTTAGAAAGTCAGCAATGCTACAGGGGCGGAACGAAACGCAGAAGTAATGGCTGTTTTCCTGCAAGGTATAATACATACTGCAATTTGAGGTGCGATACTTCATTCCACGGCACTTCTGATCACTCAAATGAAACTCAAAAGGCACTTTTTTATGGAATTATGAATCAGAAAGACACAAGTGCAGGAAAAATGGGCTAAAACTCGTCATTTTCCATGCCTAACATTAGCTTCACGTTGAGAATTCACAAGCATCGCAACGATTAACATAAAAACTTGTTTTTCTCAAACTGCAGGTCAAAATTTTGGCCAACTTTTCTATGAAAATAATTTGTTCCAGGATATTTTACGAACCACACTGATAAGCCGAATTTTGATCTCCGAACGGTAAAAATGAAGCTACGAATATTCAAATACCGGCAAAAAACTAATACTGCCATTTTTGGAATACATTTTGAAGTAGGCGGAAGAATAGAATAGAAAATAATATTAAGAAATGGGTAAAACTAGTAAAATTATTTTAACAAAGTTATTATAATGGCAAGAAATGATTCGGTCCATTAAGTCGTATACATTTCTTAACATTTCCATTATTGGACCGCGGCAGTACGACGATTGTGGTAATTTTTGGAGATGAAATTTTTTAGTAAATTGAGTTCCTAAAAAATCTGAGGCTGCGTCATAAAAAAAGCATTGTACCTGCGCTGCAGAACTGTTGTCGTGGGCGAATGTTTCCAATGCAACAGTTCGAACATCGATCAGATGGGTGGCTCGTGTAAGCAAAGCAAACAATTCCACGGCAATGGCTTGCAATTGATCCGGATAACAATCGTACAAGCTTCCATGCAGCACCGATTCCAAGCTCGGATTCGAATCTTTAAGCATATTCAGTAGATTTCAACAACGATAAAATAACCACAGCTGACCAAAAGATCAGGCGAAAAACGCCATTTTTTCAAGCTCCAAATCAGCGCTAGCTGCAGTTCAGGCTGGTGTTTAGGGCTTAACAATAATACGGAATCCTGTTCCTAAAACGCATCTAATTGCTGTTTGTGTTCGCAGTTAAGGGATGAAACATAGGCAGATTTTTTTCCTGCACAAACCCTTTTTATATGACATTACAACATGACATTTCCTCCTCTTCCACCTGCTCTATCACTCCTACTTCTTTCAAGACATTAAATATTTTCTCTCTTTCATACTCTCTTTATCTTTTCCTTTCACTCACCCTTCTAGCAAATTAGTTACATATCCTTTCAATACATGGCGGGTAAAGGAGGCTGTACTGACGATTCCCACTCCTACCCGCATGCATAGTCCGGTCTGTGTTTACAGCTAAG